CATTGAGCTCAAACCTTTCACGTTTTGAGTGAATCCATAAAATATTTTGACGTGAAGTCCAATATAATTTAATTTGTGACATTTGATCATCTATTCTTTTTACATGCCAAAACGAATGACTTCATCCATGCCACCTGTTAATAGAAAGTCTCCTGCTTTCGTATTCTTTCAGGCAAGAATATAAACTCTCCAGGAAGATATGTAATTGCTAGGCAGTGACCAGATACCATAGACCACAGTAGCACTGTCTTGTCATCACTTCCTGATGCCAGTTGGGTGCCATCTGGTGAGAAAGTCATACTCAAAACGGTGCCAACATGCCCTTCTAGAATGCACGGATTCTGCTCTAAATTATTGATAGACCACAGTCGCACCGTCTTATCATCACTGCCCGATGCCAGTTGGGTGTCATCCGGAGAGAAGGTCATACTATAAACAGAACTACAATGTCCTTCGAAGGTATGTATATGCTCTAACGTTTCAGCACTATAAAGGTAAATTTTCTTTCCACTAGCAATGGCAAGAAAACGTCCATTTGGGGAATAGCAACAGCATTCACAAATGTCTTCAAGATCTAAAAAAGGAAGCCCACCAAATTGCGCCCGACATATCAAATTGCTAAAAATATAACAATGAAAGTCTTTATTCAACAAATTCGGAATGCCTTTTTTGAATCTTGATGCATAAAAGCGGAAAATTTAATTATTGTAGTACATTTGTTTCCTGATTTATTTTTATCAAAGAACTTTACATGGTGCAATTGGAGAACAAGAAGATACTGTGCAGCACAAAAAAACTTATATTGAAGTCGGTTGCCAAAATATTTGAATAAAATGCATGACGGAGACAATGTTCGTCAGCAAAAAAATGGAGACAATATTTTTTAATTTTGATGATTTCAGCGCCATCGAGAAAATAGATAAAGGCGGATTTGGAATTATTTATAAAGCCATTCTTTTAGGAAAAAAAACAGTTGTTTTCAAGAAAATGAATGAAGATGGAAATGAAGCAGAAATAAACAATGAAGTAAATATCAATAGTGTTCTTTTAAAGAAAATGTTAATGGATTGTTGAGAAAAAAAATTTCTAACCAAGTTTTCAATTAATCAAGATAACCCTTCTTAAAAAAGTTTGTCCTCATCCTAATATCAATTCACTCCTTGGAATTACTGAAGGTTTTTTATTGTTTAAAATTTAAAAATTTCTATCTCATTATTTTAAGAATTAACTTATCTGTAATTTATATAGATCCAGAAAGTAAAAATGCAATAATGGTCTTGAATTACGCAAATGAAGGAAACCTGCAAAATTATCTTAGAAAAAATTGGATAAATTTAATTTGGAGAAAAAAAATCAAATTTGCACTTGATGTAGCAAACGGACTCGAACACCTAC